ACGTCCTCTACCCCCGGCAATTTGCTCTACATTTTATTCACTTGACTCTGCAAAATCGAGCGGGCTTGTGTCTGAGCCACTTGATAAGTTCTTCCCCATTGATCTAGTACTGAAATTCCCACTGTACTGACATTTATAGAATACATCGTGGATTAGCAAGCTAGACAGTGCCTGTGAGAGATACAGGTATGATTCCCACCAGATGCACTGCCATTCACACCAGCCGATTAAAGATACGAGTTTTGGATTAGCTGGTCAATGTGTCTATGCGAAGATGCCTCCGCCACAGCAGTCGACTGAGCTGATCTACTGTACAGCTTCTGTGTGTATTCCCAAGAGAAAGCGCGAATATCCCCGTCGCAGGTATGTTAATCTTAGCCTGACCTGTCTGAATTCTACTGATCCGGAAGACGATGCGATTTCAATAGAACCGAGGACATTTGACTAAAATGCACGAGCGCAAGGACCATAGCTCTTTGCCGTCTCTTCGTCCCTAGTCTTGGCCATCATAACATGTGAGTCATGGATTATCTCGCCGATCTACAAGCTAATGAATGTCAGTGAACCGTTGACATCGCACGATTCGTGCAAGAGTGGCACCGGGGCTACAGCGCCCCCGTTTGTGCTCTACATAAAGACATGGCTTACACACTATTTCTGGCTCCGCTTCAAACCACGCAGCATACCATAGGTGAAGTATATATAACAAAGGAGTGGGCCAATAACAGATACGGACATCCGATTGCGAGCTTCGCTGCATGGAAGCTTGAGACGTCCATTCTTCCGGATATTGTGAGTGATTTATCGCGCCCTCTGCTGCGTTATATCAGTTATTTGTGCAAATGTTTGTGGTCCAAAACGCGAACACCAATACTGATTTTCATGCCATTGTACAGAGGAGCAGCCCATTGCCACCCGTTAAACATACTTGTGGGGAGTCCTATCGCCGGATCGGAGATAAGACCAAGCTGGTACTACGACGCGTGCTCCATCGCGTCTTCCGCCCTCGACCTCACCGCCTTCACACCATCTCTGGCCGTCCACATCGCGAGGTCTTATCCCATTACGACTGTACAATTTCCTGTCACAGGTAGGCTCGTCAAGCGCCTTTGGCATCTCAGAATTTGCCCGGTGCACCCAGCGCGGCTTCATCGAAGCGGCAGCCGGAGGTTGCGACGAACTGGGTACAACATCATGCCAACATGGCATGAATGGTGACTGCATTGATGAAGACAATTGTAAGTGATCTCGTCGGTAAGATAGGGCCACGAAGCTAATTGATCGTCTTGTCTCAAGCGAACATGCTGCAAACTCTATGAACAGGTAAGTCATAACAACTCGTCCAAGTGGTCCAAGCCTTGTTGACTTGGATCGTACAACAGGAAGCCCCTCATATTCCCGTCACTCGAGTCGAATGCGAAGCGAGCAAATGTCTTGTCTGCTCGGTGTTCGTGTTGATAGTTTGGGGCTCCAGCAAGCGTGGGTCGATATTCGTTATCTCAAAGCCGACAGAGGCTGGAGACTCAATCCTTGCCGACTGTCGCATTCTGGAGACAATCTGAGCTGTTTGTGAATGTAATCAGTGGACTTTGTGGCGAATGACAAATTTTGATATTGATATCATATGCGTGCACCTGGGTAGCGTGGGCCAAAAATTTAGTGACTCGGGTAATTTCCAGAACTCAAAATGGAGAGCCCGGTCTGTTGAGTGGACGTTTGTTCAAAGCTCAAAGAGACGGTGAGGCCGCTTTGTGCAACATTGTGCACTGGAGGAGCTATGTCCACATTGCTGAATGCAATTTGGAAAGGAGGGACACGGCAAACCGTGTGGCGGGATCTGGATTTGGGATGGTGGCCATAGAGTGCTTTCATGCGGCATGACCCCAAGTTCGCTGTTCAAGTGGCATGCCACGCCCGAGGGGCGGTCGAAGGAGGTAAAGTTTGATGTGATAGTTAGGGCCGGGGGGGGGGGGGGGGGGAGTAATCCCCTAATCCCGAGAAAAAGCAGTCTCTCGGGATCCACACCACTTCCACAACATATCCACCAGCTGCTGACGGTGAATTGGCTTGGCAATGTAATCGTTCATTCCCACAGCCACGTAAGTCTCCGCATCCCCCTTCAAAGCATTGCCTGTTAATGCAATGATGGGCACATCATGCTTCATCTTTCGAATTTGCTCTGTGGCTGTGAGGCCGTCCATGACGGGCATGTTGATGTCCATTAGGACCATGCTGTAGGTAAGGGGTCTCAGCTTTACCAGACGGACTTAGTCTTACAAAGCTTGGTTCGTAACGCACCCATCCCAGGCTGCGTCAACGCACTCGAACCCGAGTGTGCTGAGGAGCTTGATCATGATGGTTTGGTTGACTTTGTTGTCTTCCAACAGGAGTATGTGCTTTTGTGATGCAATTTTCTTGAGAGCTGCGCAATAATCAAGTGGTGGTGCCTTGACGAGTGGGGGCCTCTGCTTCACCTGGGCGACTGGTGAGATGCCTGCCATTTTGGCTGTCATCCAAAACGCACTGCCCGGTCCAACCGGGTTGGCGTGGAATCCAACCGCTCCGTCCATGAGTTCGGCAAGGCTCTTGCAAATTGAGAGACCGAGGCCAGTTCCCTGATATACTTTTGTGGCTGTATCAGCAAATCTTGTGAAGGGAGTGAACAGAGTGTTCACGGCTGTATCGGAGACTCCGATACCAGAGTCTAACACTTTCGTGGTAATCATGTACATATCAGGATCATTCTCGTCGACGGTGTGTTTGGCATCAATCTGAACGCGTCCCCTCTCGGTGAACTTGACTGCGTTACCAACCAGGTTTTGTAAGACTTGGCGGAATCGCAAGGGGTCTCCTTTCACCTCGGGAGGGAACCCTGGACTGACGGTGCTCTTCAGCTCAACCCCAGCCTTCAATGCGGGCTGGCAATTACGCACAACGGCATTGATCACATTGGGAACGTTGAGCACGTCGGCATTCAACGAGAAAGACCCAGACGACAATTTGGAGTAATCGAGGACATCGTTGATAACCTGCAGTAGAATGGAGATTGAGTCCTCCAGAATGGACGCGTATCCCCGCTGCTCCTCATTCAACTCGGTCCTCATCAACATCGTCAACGCCAAGAACATTCCGTTCATTGGCGTGCGCAGTTCGTGGGATATGTATGGAATACCAGATTGAGAGAGAAAGTGTTAACGGGAGACTCAGATGGATGTCAACAATAACTCCGACGGAGAAGAGAGGAAGACCCGGCCTCCACGCGATATCATCTACATGGACCAGTGGATCAAGCCGGAGTGGCTAGAGAACTATACCCAGGCTGGTCATGCCTAAAGGGATATATAATGGCGTAGCTTAGCATGGCGAAGAACTTTATCAGGTTCTCGGACTTTTAGCTGCAGCAATGATGGCCAAGTCTGGGGTAGAGAGCGAGAGCGAAAGCGAGACTGCAGGGAGGCAAGGTACAGGGCCACCAAGAAACAAACGTAGTTCTTTTTCACCGCCTATCAATTAAATTATCCACCGCCCCCTATTATTACTATACGTTACGAAACCCCATTCTTCCCTCTTCAACCATGGTTCGACGTACAGAGCTTACCCGCGATCAACGCCTACATTGTCATGTCTTTCGAGATGAAGGCTATACATATCCCTATATTGCATCCCGTTTAGATTGCAGTATACGGCAAGCTCAATATACGTGTAGTAATACTATACAAACGACACCACAGAAGAAGAAGACAGGCCGACTTCCAAAGCTTACCCCTGAGCGCCTTGACGAAGTAATCCTATGGATTCAGCAATCTCTTGAGCATCGCTGTCTAAACTATCATAATATCTGTGGTATTTTAGACCTTGGTATATGCGGGGAGACACCTCGCCTATCTCTTAAAGCTCGTGGGATGACTTCACACCCTACTACACAGAAGCCTCCGATCCTTACTTCCCACCGGTCGAAACGTCTTATATGGGCCCGGGCCCGTCAAAATTGGTCGGTAGATGATTGGAGAAGGGTTATCTTTAGCGATGAGGCTTTATTCCGATCCGGATGGCATCGAATGCCTAATGTCTTACGATTTAAAGATGAAAGATATCACGAAACTGCGGTTGTTGGACAATCAAGCCAGCGGAAAGGAATCATGATTTGGGCATGCTTTGCCGGCGATAAAAAAGGTCCTCTTGTTATCTGGGATAATAATTGGGGGACTCTTAAATCGAGTACCTTTATTGAGCATATTGTACCAATGATTGATCAATTCAATATGGAGCTATGGGATAATCATCAGATTGATACTCTTCTTATGCAAGATGGGGCCCCTTGCCATTGGTCCTATGAAACTACAGAGGAACTAGATGGTTTGGATATTATTAAAACCGATCATCCACCTATCTCGCCAGACCTGAATCCGCAGGAGAACCTCTGGAACTGGCTGAAAGAATATGTATCGGAGCGATGCCCCTCTGATACTCGAAATCATGATCTTGCATGTACTATACAAGAAGGATGGGATGTATCACCGGCTAGTATTCTAGAAAACCTAGTATGTTCAATGCCGCGGCGGGTGCAAGAAGTGATTGAGAGAGATGGACGGGCTACACAGTATTAAAACAATTCAATACAGTGATGAATAATAAATTACTGGCAGAATAATAGTGGAGAACTACGTTTGTTTCTTGGTGGCCCTGCCCTCTAGAGGGGGACAGCAAGACCGGGACCGAGAACGAAAGCGAGAGAGAAACCGAGGCAAGGCTCAACTTGACCTCGGGAGGAACTATTGACGCTTCTAAGTGCCGTTTCTTGGGCGTTGAGCGGTTGTGCTAGAAGCACGACAAGTTAGGGCATTTCCCGGCACTACTTGGCATTTAGCATTCACGTCATTACAGGTGTCTTAAAGGCATAGGAAGGGGTGGCTGTGCAGGCTAACTTTTCCCACCCTAGGGCCATATGCTCCTTAAGGACGGGTTTTCCCCGGAACCCGTATTCTTGGGCTATGAATACCCTAGGAGAATTTGCCCACGAGTAGGAATTCATCTAACGGGCGTTTTAAATTAATCGGTTGGTTGGACTTCGTTTCCCCTGAAGTAATCAGGATTTTCTGATATTTTTCCTTATGATTGGTGAAGTACAAGCAACAAGAGTGAAGAAAGAAAGAACAAGTGAGAAGAAAAGAAACGACAGGTGAGAAGAAAGCAAGCATAGTAGTCAACATAAACTTTTTCATAATCGCCAACGAGATTCCCTCGCTATCCCTCTTTACGAGCGAAGCTCGCAAATGTGAACTCACACAGGGCATGGGTTTGATGCGCCCGCTAATATATCAATTAGTCTATTTCCTTGATTTTCAAATCCCAACAGGAAATTACATACCGCACCTTCGAGGCTTATCTCCTTCCTTAACCCAGCCTCTTGGCGCACTGTACCAGATTCCAGAATCGCCATTTCTATAGATTTTGTCAGTAAGCTTAACAGAAATCGACTGATACATCAAACTCACTGATACTTGCAAAAGGAGGTGAAAGTAGCACCCAGGATAGACGTGCCGTTGGTGGGGCTTGAGTTGCAAGGATACTTGTAGTATGGGTAAGGGTATTTGACCTCACAAACGTTCTGGTCACCGTATCCATGGTGGTCATCGTATTCATGATGATTTTTGTAGCCCTTGTCATTACCTTTGTTTCTCTCCTCGAGGGAATCGGAATTCGGGTCCGCAACCGGCGTTGCAAGGGCTAACTCCGTAGCTAGGGGAAGAAGCACAGCAATAATATAAAATGGTGACTTCATATTGAAAATAAATTAACAATAGAAGGTGGAAGTAGATAAAAAGATAGAAAGTAACCGAGATGGATATTTCAAGATAGCAGAGAAATGAGTCTGCTGCCGTATTCGCAAATGTCATGAATCTTCACTCGCCTTATACAAGGTCTAGTGGCAAAACCTGTGGCTTAGGAATATCTCTGGCCATGAGACCTTAGCTACTCGATACTAGAACCAAGAATCAAGATAAAAAGTAAGGGTCACTGCTGCTGCTGCTTCCGACAAAAACATGGTGTCTAGGCCGTCCCAAATTGTCATTCATTGACGGGAAAGCCAACTGCGGGAATGATCCAGGTTCTTGGCATGGATACTTCGCACAGAAGCCAGTATCCGAGCAGCATACTTCATATACCAAATACTTACTCTAGTCCAATTTGTGTTGCATTCTGGCCAATCACAGTGGTAGTCATGACATCAACTTTACGAAAGCGTTTAAAAATTGGGACTCGTTTCACTCACTTTAACATCGATCACAAAGTAGATCTCTCGCTACTATCGATTGGTGGAATGAGACGATCTGTCGTTCCAAGATGGAGATTGGCTTTATGCCAGATAAAAATAGAGTTAGGCCCGAACAACGGTCTGTTAAGGGTCGGCCCCACTTCAGAAGCTTTGCCGTGTCCTATTGAATATCCTATTTATATCATGGTTCCATGATGATGTACATATCGCCGAGAACGCTTTCGTCCCAAATCTTGCAATGCCATGTCGAAAGCGAACATTACTGGCTTTAACACTACTCAATATTCTCAATATATTTTCTAATGACACTGGGATCGCGTATGGCTTTGCCACAAGATTGTTCGACGTTAAACCAAGACTTTCTGGGCTAAATGAGGCGCAGCTAGTACATTGTTTGCTGCGCGTGGAGGTTCGCATACGCAAATGAATGAAAGATAATCTTGGCAACATTTGAACTAGAGGTATTTTAGTTGGATACTGGCTTATATATATCTGCCTGGTCTGGCGAAGTTATTCAGAGTGGGGTATTTCAACCTACCCTGGATTGCATGTTTATTCTCTTCAATCGATCAATATTTTCATCCTGAATTGGTTCCGCTTGATCTCATTCGCCCCGAATGCATACTAGCCTATACACTTTTAGCTTGTTCTGATAATATCTTACTAGTGTGTATCGTAAGTAATGTGACGTAATAGATATGTTTTCGATTGTATGACGAAGATTCGCTATGAGCTTCATCGGGGCTGTGTGACATCTTTGTGTCTGACTGTGGATGTATGAGCTATCACTGGCCTCTTCTCCTTCTACCGTGCAAAATGGCCAGCTTCTCCACATCTTGCGATTATCAAATTGAGGGTTACACTTGTTGACAACATGATAGAGTCTCACGGCTTGGACTCTGGGTCATCTAGAGACTTTCGAATTGGTGTAGGATGACAAGACCTCTTGGAACCTAGTTAATAAATTGCTGGCGACGGAATGGATAAACAGGGCAACTTACAAATTGATTTTGAGAAAGAGGCCAATCTTTTGAGTTTGAGCTCAGAATGAAGATCTTCCCGGATTTATCCATGCGAAGAACGGGATGTATGTCGGCATCGCATTCCAAGCTATACTATCAGAGGCTTTTTTGAAAAGTGTGCTCCGTCTCCTGCCCGCTTTTTGATTGACTGCGTCTGCTAGGTTGGTTTTCAGTTCTGGCTGAACTACCATATTGAGGTTTATCGCTAGTACTGAGAGCAGACAAGCGGTGGGAGGATCAGACCGAGGAGGAATCCGACGGACGATCACTTTTCGAGATTGGTAGTAGTGACTCGATAGATAAATGATGGTCCACAGCGAGCCCCGCACTCGCGGGATCCGATCCGTCGCAAGTGCAACAGCGATGGCGGCTTCCCGTAAAGGACTTAATACGGTGTGTTCTTCTGTAGTATTGATGCTGGCGCGCGCAGCTTCAGATATACCACCGTGTCCAGGAGCTCGGTCCACCAGGAAGGAGGAAGTTTCGCTTCGGACAGGAGCGTGCTGATCCGCTCCCGGATAGTGCGATTTGGTCGTTCGGCCAGTCCATTCTGCCCTTTGCAGTATGGTGGCGAAGTGTCAAATTCGACTCCCTGGGACTCGAGGTGTGTTCCGATGGGCAAGTATTCTCTCCCGTTGTCGGTGAGAAATGTTTTTATCTGAGCGCCAAACTGTCGGTACACCCATGCCTCGAATTGTCGGAACTTCTGCAGCGCTTCGTGTTTCCATCTCATGGCATATGCCCACGAGCCGCGAGAATAATCGTCAGTAAAGGTGATCACGTACCTAGAACCATCTTTGGCAACTGGCATTTCCATGATGTCCGAATGGATCATTTCGAAAATTCTCGTTGAATGCAGACGTGGCCGTCTTGCACGGGAGTTCCTCTTCTGATGCTGCTTACCCGACATGCACGCCGGGCACTGCGGCGTTGCCAGCAGCTGCGCCTGCGTCAGCGGTCGGTACGGAGTGCCGGTCTGCCGGAGAACCACCCTCAAGTCGCCCCGGTTCAGATGTCCCATCCGAGCGTGCCACAACGCTTCGGAGGCCTGGTCCACTCCTTTGCACGCATCTTCTTCGAGTATCACAGCTTCACCACCGAGTTCAGAGGTTGACGTTGCGCATTCTGCGTCACTTGACTCCTGAGGGTCGTCGACGTCCATGACCACCGCCTGCGGTTCCAGGGAATCTGCATGGCCATGGGTCGCCGGCGCCCTCGCCAGTTGGACTCGCTCTCGGGATCTTTGGCTCACATGGCACCGTAGGATCAACAGATCCTCCTCCGCATGGCAGGCGGTTCCCACGGTCCGTCCTCGGCGTTGCACAAAGACGTTCTGCAGGTGCGCCACCACCGAGTAGCCGTCTCGTAACAGCTTCGGCACGCTGATCAGGTTCATTCCGACGCGTGGCGCGAAGTACACATTCTTCTTTTTAATGAACTCTGAATACGTTCCAGGAGCTTCTTTGCTGCCAAGAAATCGGGCATGTTTTCTAGAGCTATCTCGGTATCTCCAAGGAAGTACAGTCCACTTTCACGATTACGAGACATGACACCGTTGATGGGTCTATCGGATTGGTAATATTAACACTAGCCTCAGGAGTGACAGGTTATACATGACGCATACACGATAAGCAGAGGAGATTCCTTGAGCGTTTCCAGAAACTCGATACGTAGACGAAATAAAATCCACTCAGTGGTAGCGATTTTTGTAAATTTCCCAAAGCATCATTCCTTTTCCAACCTAGTATCCGATGGAGTGGAAAAAGTCGCTGAGTTGACATTTCCCATCCTATGAACCCCGTAGAACGAAAATTTGCCATTTTCTGCGTCAGACTGGACTTCATCTTCGTGAACTTGTACCACCAGAAGCCAACCATATATTAGTGCAAGGGCTTATAACTTCCTCAAGCCGATCTGTTGAGATAATGTGATCTTGCGGATGTATAGAAGCAGCTCGTTAATGTGAGTGAAATAGCCCACTGTGTCGTCTCATCTTTCACCAACAAACAACCCAAAGACGCCCACCAGGGCACCAGAACTGCCTGGCACGTGGAAGAGCTGGGCGATACTTTTTGTAATAACACAATGTCCACCTCTTCTTCTTTCTGGTGTTTCATGGTCATCACACCTTTGCTGATATCACGGTAGTACCCTTGCAAGAGGTGGAATCGACAACTCCCCAGGTCTAGCAGAATAAATTAGATCATCTTAAACCGGGCGATATGTTTTCTCAGGCCTATCAATAATCTCCACATATTGCGATACATCAATCGTCTTATGGATGTATCCGTCGTTTGAAGATCCAATGTTGGCTATGTCTGCGTATGAAATCAGATGGCTTTGGTCGGAAGCAGGAACGAACTCGGATTTTGAGCTCCTTGATTTGTTGGTCGAAATATTTCTGCTGTCATTGCCTTTCATTTTGCTGAGTTGCATGGACGAATCATGCGTATAATGTTTCTTCGAACCATAACTGTAGCCTGCTTTGCACAGTCTACTTATAAGGATATTGAGGGTGGGCAGACAGGCGCAGATAAGACCCATGCCGCCTTCGGCATTTCTGCTTAATTGTTAAAAAGATGGCTTTCTAAATATAAGGTCATAGGATGAGGGCGAACTCTACCCTGAAAGGATGACACAAGTAAACACTACCGTCATGTTCATAGAGCTCCCGTCTCTTAGAACTAAAACCAGTCTGTAGATACTGAAGGCTGTTGCTAGGCCACCTGCCGACAAGATGCCGACCACGCGCAACTTCTTGTTCCGAGACATCTGAAGCGACCAGGTCAACGGAAGTGGTAACACGAGGATGATGCCATCAGTGACCACACTAATGACTGAGTCGGCGATAAGAGCGGCGCGTTGATCGAGACAACTTCCACTGGGGTCGACCGTCCAGTACGAGGGAATGGGATCACACATGCGGATCTTGACAATTTCGGCGACGATATAGTAGATGGTAAGGCAGCCAAGAAGGGCATAGATAAACAAAATCTTGGATCTGTAAGGGGAAAAGATTCGGATCAGGATGGAAAGTAGAGCGTATTTCACGAAGAGAATCATAGGACAGTAGACGACGGTCGCAATATAACACCACTGGTCCAATTAGCATGAATAATCTTATAGGGGATAATACTATTCACTTTTCGAAAAGAAACCTGAAGATCGGGCGACACTACGGTATAGTGATAGCCTGCGCCATAATTGCCCACTTCCTATACTTCAGCGTCGAATTACAGTGGAGAAGAATTATTACTCACGGACAATTGCAATACCACAATATGCCATAAACAGAGCCTGCGGGGTGTTAGTGGACGTATTAAGCAAGAAGACGGAGAACTTGCCCATGCGAGTAGACAGAAAGCTGAAAAATGGTAAGTAAACACGGTGGAGATTCCGGGTGTTCAGGTTGCGACATACCATCTTCAACCAGGACAAATTGGTTAAAATAAATGCGAACTGCGAACCGCAGCGCCACAAAGACGGTAATGATGGGAATACATAGACATTGTGTAACAAAATTGATGGTATTTAATGTGGATTGGGGCGCTTCAATGGTCATTGTGTGTCAACTATCGTAGGGCATAATTCGACGCCGAGGACAAGTGCAAGTCAAAAAAATAGAATAAGTGATTAGGGAACTTAAAGTGGAGAACTTATAAATTATGTCAAGCCCCTCGTCACCTGATTCCGCCACTGCAGATTTGATGGATGATGCGATAACCGTATCGAGCCACGGATGCCTAAATCCCACGACAATGGCCTACCAACAAGCAAAGCGGTTATCTAACCGGACGATTGAGCCACTAACTCTACCAACCTTCGGGCATATCTATTTTTGCCGTAGACAAACTGCGGCACTTAAGCCAGCGAATGGTCACTTTACGAATAGAGCAGTTTGCACCTCGGTCACTTTCTTGCTAATAAAACAGATTATGAAATTTCCCCAGTCGTATCAATTTCTTCACTTGAGCCACGCAGCGAGATCAGGCCTGGAGAATAAGCTTCCCTGGCTAATCAAATTATGTCCTACAAAAATGACTCGTTGCTGGGCGGTCTAGCCCCAAGCCAACAATGCCAAGCTCCCAGAACCAAGGAAAGAAAGCATCTTCAGCCACGAATGTCTAAGCCTTCAGGCTGACTGAATATGGATGCGTTGGATAGACGCCAGCAAGTGATTCGTTGCGCCAAATTCCCCCTATTTTGAACGTTATTGCTCTCTTTTCGCGCACCTGAGTTCTATACTTGAAAATATATATCTTTTTGTAACTGTCAGACATCCTCAAAACGTATTACCCAACTCAAACCCACGTTTGGTCTCTCGTGTGGGTGAAATGACAAGAAAACCTCCACTACATCAGTGAAACGTTGACCGCCCGGCCTGTCACCACACCAACACACAACGATTACAAGCCACACTCACCACATCAACCCACACTGTGTCAGAAGATGCCATTGTGGGGGATTCTCCTCAAAGTTATGATTTATGGCCTGTGAGCGACGCAAGGCCAGAGTCCAGATTACACACGTCTGACTTCATTCAAAATTTGAGCGAGTAAGTGAAGCATGTACTTGGACATCAATGTGATCACTTTATGAACTAACATGTTCAAGAATGCTTGAATGATCCAAACAATTGGCAAGTAATGCGCTGGTCTGAAAATGGGAAGTCTGTTTTAATCGCCCAAGAAAGCAAATTCCCTGCGCACATACTTGCAAAGATGTCCACAAAAAGCTATCATATTCGGCGGTTCTATTACTATGGTTTTCACAAAACGGGGGGAGCTTACCATCATCATTCTTTCATCTGTGGTCAGCCTAGCTCCATACGACCGACTCGAGAGATGAGTCACAGCCCCTCACTTTCTTCGCCTTTAAACAAAAGCACTTTTCAAGGTGGGCCTCGTCATTAAGGGATTAAAAGAGAGCGGACAAGAGACAGTGTCTTAAAAAATACCCCAATGGTTAAATGGGCCATGCCAGTAGCTGTTCCTTCACTTCAATCAAGGCCAATGCTCCCAAATGCTCGGTAAGACCCCGGTGGTTCAGGCCATATATAGATACGCCAACAGGAATACCGTCTGCTCTTGCCCATCTGCGTGTCCGCTATGCTCCGAATAAAAGGTTCCAGAATTAAAAGCTTTGTTACGGCTTCTTGGAGCACATATGCCGCCTTTAGGAGCCATGCAGCCCCCCGGAAACCCGACGTAGCTTCTAACCCCTTTTCGCCACCTCGGAAGCCAAAAGTCACGTTCCTGTTTACAGCTTTGTTAACTCCTGTAATCTATGTGCGATTCTGTCAGGGATATACATGAAGCATACAGGCTAACTGGAGATAGGATCTGCGGGACCCACATGGTGCATATGGGTTCCCCTGAACGCGAGGAAGCCTGTTCCTTTTGCTTCCTCGCGCTACGTCTTGTATCTAGAGTCAACTATAGTTCTTCTTAATATCAATTATTCATCTCGAGACACTATCCACCTCTGTGTATACGTGAGACCCTTACACCTCCGGTGCAGATGTAGATGGCTTCAGTAACAATAAGTTAAGGGCGATCAAACGTACTGATAATCCCTTTGACCTTTCCAATAAGAAAAAGAAAACGTTTCCTAAGAAAGTACGATCCCAGGAACAAAAGTGACAAAAGTGTTGTAAATAGCTGTAGAAATGATCAACCACCCTTTGTTGGACTCACAACAACATCGAGGGAGTCCCAAATGTCAAAGGTTGTGAAATGGAGCACTGTTGTGGGTTCCCTCAGAACAGGCCCGCCTACAGTTCACATTCTTCATACTTGTCTCTCTAATTTAGGAGCATTTTATCGGGGTCTCATGCGGCCTGCGAAATCCTACGTACGGACTGTATATAAAGACCTACGGAACCGGGATGAGTGTCCTCGTAACAAGATCAGGACATGGTAGCAAGGGGGCTGCCTGGAAATTTCTGAAGTGTCTGGATTCTTGTCAGTTTAGGGAATATGCCTGGTTAGATTTTAGGGGTCTGAATGCGTTTGATTGGAAAGGTGGATCGAAAGCAGAGTGATCTATAGAGTAGAAGCCGAGGCAAACGATTCATCTTCGATACACGCCCTAGTCATGTTTGACGAGAAACAAAGGTTTTCCGAGTCAGGGCCAAGACTGGCAGCTTCGACCCAAGTCATGGGAAAAAGTTACTTTCACAAAGATCGTGGAATCATGAGCGGGACCGCCGATCAGTAGCGGAACCCCAATCATTTCGATAACTGAGTTTCGCTGAACCATGGAAACGCTCGCTCGGTGAGAGAATGCGGTTGTCATTAAGGATTCAAGCTTGAACTTAATCGAAAGCTTATCCAACTTCAGGCTTCTGGTCCACTTACTCTTTGGATTCGTGTTGATTAAATCTGTCCCTGCAGTGCTAAGAGAATTCAGAGATAGTTGGGCCGCACTGTCCAAGATCTCGCGCTGTTGAAATTTAGTATTCTGTAACAACTGGATTCGGAAATATTCTGGATCGCCAGAGTCATGGCAACGATTACGCCGGGTGCATGAAATAAACTTTGTGGGTCGGTTCACTACGCCGACTCCTGGCATATCCGGCACTCAATCGGTTTCTCGGCTTTTAGTGCAAACCCCGGCTACTCCATTCATGTAACCCCGTGTGGTCTAGCCAAAATTGGTATTTAATTTTTTAAAGCTATCTGCTAGAGTTGGCAGACTGGCGATCGAATCGGAGCAGATAGGGAGAGGAAGTGTCCGGTTCGAAGAGAGGATACTGATTAAGGGAAAGGTTGATGCAGGAAAATATGCATTGCTTCTGGAACGCGTTAGACCAGGTAGAGAAAGCAGCAGCTTCCCACGCGACGGAGGACCAATCACTCTCTTGCGAGGGCAACTAAACCGCGGATCGGATCTCTGTTGCCAAAAGTATGTGTGATATTCTAAATACCTCACCTGCCCCAACCGACCTCCTAAGCAACAAAGGCCTGGTCCATCCGCACGCTGACCGCCCGTCAAGTCTAGGCTTGTGGATTGCGTCTGGAACTTTGCAAATCCTTCCAATTTCTTCCCCGGGCCACAAATAGAGCCTCCTTGATCTACTGTCCGGTGGGTCGTCGCTGGGATCTGCATCGCGGAACCGTACCTGCGTCTGTCTACATTCGCGCATGGTGTTTGATTGGTCCGTTGGGTGCTATTTGTGTCCAGGGTCTCATCAATGTGACAGTAGCGTTGCAATATCGCGAGGTGGGCGACGATCGACGAGGAACCATCTCATGAGCCATGGTAGCTGAAATAACTCACTTCGTTGTCCTGGAAACTAGGCTCGGGTTCCTATTCTGAGCTTCCAACAAGGTCTACACTTTTTGATTCTCCGTCAAAGAATACAACCAATACCCTGGATTTGGGAGTATGTTCATAGTGTCTGTACCGACAGGTAGGAGAAGTATTAGTAGAGGCAAGATCAGTTGGTTGCGAGCAACACAGAAAAGTACCGTTAGCGCGAGGCTAGGCAAAGAGGATTGTAGAGGGATCAATGGGAGGCACGTCTTATGGCCAACCACGGGTACAATCGAATGTGACTGTCTGCCACAAAATCTCCAACCCATTATTGCGGCATCTGTTGAAGCACTTCAACCCTCATGAAAGAGACGGTGACCGTGGCTAGTGGCCATGGTCAAAACGGGCAGAGTAGTCTGCCACCGCGTTGAGCGATTTAATTGCAAATTCAATGATATGTGAGAATCATATCCTTGCGGTATCACTGTCTTTTCAACAGTTGATGAAGTGGTTCACCATACTCAACGCAGGTTTTGAAAGCAATGAATCCAGGTTGAAACTTGAGTCTGTAGGCCACAAGTCTCCTAACACCATTTCAACGTTGTTCAAATGTCTTCAACGACAATAACGAGACAGTGATTCTCGCTACCAACTGCGCAACTGGTTCCTTGGTCGAGAGGTAGCCGAAAAAATATAAAAGGGGCCAGATTCCCAGCCCAAAAGAATCAGGACTTCGGTCCTCACACTCCGATGTGTCATGGTGCCCCTCTCGTGCCTACGGGCTTGAGAGCTTCCATGACCACGGCTGTCGCTGCCACGAGCCCAGCGATGTAAGACTTGCGCTCCCTCACAGCCAATGAGCCCTGTGACTGTAAAAATGTGCTCAGTCATGGCAAGGCTTGGCTCGCCAAGGACTTGTCATCGCTCCCCAGCGATGTGCAGGCACCTCTCCGTGGTGCTGGGGACTAGTATTCGAGTAGCCCAAGGGCATTCGAAGAAGCAAAGACCTGTACAACATCTTCATCTTCTTCGTATTCCGAAGTATCATCTTTGGAGAGATAGAGTGAGCGCTAGATAGATGCCTATCAATCACCAGAATCGTAAATTCACGACTGAATCTTCTTCGCTATCGAGTGCCGTATTCCTCACCCTCCTGCCTTGATAGTTTGCGGTATGCTAGTTCATCCGTCGCAATAAAATCCATCTGCGATCAGAGCGCAGAGCGAATAGAGACTTGAGTGTTTGGGTACGTCGCGGATGTGTTGATGAGCGTTGATTAACGTTGATGAACGTCGATGATCGTTGATGAACATTGGTGAATGTTGATGATCGTTGATGGTCGTTAATGAACGTTGATGAACATTAATCGTTGACGAGGGTGTTGATGTGGTACACGGCCGGGCGGTGAAGTTGAGTGGTCAACGTCTCACGGCCTTCGCGCGAGCTCTTTCTTGCCATCTCACCCACATGACAGAGATATCAGTTTCATTGTTGTTTCAATTCTGCGTTATTTCTTGTTCCCTGGTGGTCACTCGGTGAAGTTCGCATACAGTCTCCAATTTAATTGACCTGGTGAATGCAAACACCGGATTTCCTTCGGTTCAGCTAAAACAGGCAATACACTCAAGGTCAGGCCTACCAGGTGTAGAAGCATTTGATGAGAAGCACTCGAAATACAATTTGTTGTCTCAACTTAGCGATAGGCTGTTCCTTGCCTAATCAAAGCTATTGCTTCAATCGGCGATTGAAGTCACTCAACCCTATTCTACTATAGAATGCCTATATCCAGAACGGTCGCGATAGTCAAAGTGGATTCGCAATAAAGACAACCAATTTAGGCTTCTTTGGCTTGAGAATATCTGATCGGCTCCTTCTCTAACTAGGAGCCGTCGCAACCTTGTGAATAATCCCGTCAGCAACTACGATTTATATCGCCTGCCCATCTCCCATGTATCAGCATCCACCACTGCACTCAAAGCGATGGTCATTACTTTTTGGGGCGTAATACCTAAGTTTATGCGATCAAGCATGCTCTGCTGCTGAGAGCACACTGTTGAAGCCGATTGGGATTAGTAAGCGCCATCCTAAGCAGATCTGGTAAAGACGACTCCGCCAACATTTACGACGGGCCTTCATGAGAATATATCCACGCAAGTGGTACTTTGGTTGACTTGGAATTGCAGCACGCATACACCTAACCCATTCCCCCGAAAGCAATCATATAAGCGCTGATTAGAAGTAGAGTTTCAGATGGTCAAAGAGGTACCACAGCCGGATGGCTCTGGGTGGTGTTTTTACAGACATCAAACCCACCTTCACAGTGAATCTGTCCGAACAGTGATGTGCCATATGTCGTCCAGAGCGCGTTGTGTCTAACAAATAATTGATGCTCAAGGATAGTCGACATAGGGGACGCAGAGAACTCGGCCATTGCCTGTCAAGAGCTGCTTGCGCGCGATATGTTAGAAGACGATTTTAGTGAGAAAATGATACACGCCCTCGGCTTGACTGACCTGCCGCTGCGGTGATATTCAAGGTAGATGGCCTTTGCACATGTTGCTCGGGCTTGGATAGAAAAAAGCGTGCGTAGGCATCAAATCTACCTAACATATGTCCAAAGACACCACAACTTTTGTGACAGTGCCCTTGATGCAGCGTCGTGTATGTTCGATTGGTTCGTTTTCGCTCGTTCGTTTCCACCCGCTCGAATATGTCGTACGGCTCAGCAACGCGGAGTAGGATCAGATAGAACAGTATCGGTCGGTGATTCGTAGCTCGTGGCTCTTTGGTTGGCTCGGCTGTGACTCGGGACCAGACCGTCTCCTCTCTCAGTTCGTAGCTGATATGGCAATGTTAATCTGTGGGCTCGATATGACGGGGCCTTTGCCTCACCTTCTCCTTGCACACAGACTTGGACTAACAATCTGGCTGTCTGCGAAGGTATAGTTGTTCTCGAAATCGCCTTGACCGATACACACTCACACTCTCTCTTCTGGCCCCACCGCCAAGGCCTTGGCGTGGATCAGTGATTGCCCTGGCCATACTTGTTGAGGGCCACCGTAAAATGCACCTGGTATGATACGGTATCTAGCGAGGTAATAATACACCGGTTTTATGAGAATCCCGACTAGGCCTGGTTCTTTGATGATCTGCCCGCCCCCTTCCCTTCACATTGATACTGTATAGGCGGATTGGTCGACGGTGGGAGCGGACCGAGCCGGCCTGAGATGACCCATTCTTGAAATTTAATACTAGCAGGACCGTGCCTCATGTGGGCGGACGGAAGCCACGCCTCCTCCTGATTTTTTTCTAAATAATTCTTACAGGGATGAAAGTATGAATTCCCCGAAGTTAATGATTATAATGACAAGGGTGCGTGCGCTCAGGTAACAACGCGGGTATGTCGCCTCAGCCCAACCCCGCCTTCTCCTGACAAGCTCCCGTCATCATTCCCACGACCTCCGCTTTACAATATTATTCTTCTCCTATGGGACACACAAATTGACAAGTCAAAAATCACAAGGCACAATCCGATCTTTAGCAGAGCGAGTCCACTATGGCTGCCAGGACCCGATCCCACGACGATTATACGGTCGGATGGATATGTGCCTTGCCGATGGAGACGGCGGCTGCGAAGCTGATGTTGGACAAAATACACCCCCCTTTGCCTCACCTGCCGATGGACCAGAATTCATACATTTTTGGAAGCATCGGGGAGCACAATATCATTATTGCTAGCTTACCGCTTGGCGCATATGGCACTACATCAGCTGCAACAGTTGGGGTGCAGTTGCTGTCTAGTTTTCACGCCATCCGCTTCGGGTTTATGGTTGGTATCGGCGGTGGAGTACCAAGCAGCCATGCAGACATTCGACTCGGGGATGTTGTAGTGAGCCAGCCGACGGAAACTTCTGGAGGCGTTATCCAGTACGATCTAGGTAAAGCGTTAAGCGGCGACCACTTCAAGCGAACCGGAATGCTTAATCGACCTCCTAAAGTTCTGTTGACCGCTCTCGCGACTCTCCAAGCACATCACCTCACGGAAGATAGTCGGATCGTCGAATTTGTTTCCAACCTGCAAGCAAAAATGGCGCCCCACAAAGCTACCAAATTCACACGACCGACGCAAGAGGACTGTCTATCCAAGCAGAATATGATCATGTCGCATACGATACGTGCATCGATTGCGATCCATCTAAATAGTTTATACGACCCCCACGAGAGCACCAAGAACCAGTTATCCACTACGGACTCATCGGGTCTGCAAATCAAGTGGTGAAAGATAGCTTGCGCCGAGATCAACTGGCTCAGGACCTAGGGTTGTATTGTGTGGAGATGGAAGCGGCTGGACTCATGAATGACTTTCCATGTCTAATCATTCGAGGAATCTGTGACTACGCCGACTCCCACAAGAATAAAGAGTGGCAAGGATATGCGGCAACCGTAGCGGCGGCCTATACGAAGGAGCTTCTCTTGGTCGTTCCAGTCGATCAAGTTCAGAGTGCCCCGATAGCACGTGACACTCTAGCCGACTATGGTGAGAGACAAGAGATGAAATCTGTTAAAAGCCCGACCACCAGGGAGGAGCATTCAGCCTTGACATTCAACAGCAGTGGAGGGCCCCAGACCAACAACGTGAATAGCGGCATTGGTCAGCAAATCAACAACAATGCTCATGTTGGAACTCAGTATATCCAGTCCGGTAAGGAGCAGGTGCCATCAAGCACATCTTATCAATAGCACTATACCCAAAGCAGAGTTTGCGCGATCTAGTGCGAACGGAGTCAACGATGTTTCTACTTTAATGATTTCTTACATCTCACCAAATCATCCTTTACTACTATTTCTTAGTTCCAACACAAGAATGCCAATATCCCTTCAAAGTCTCGGTTTCCTCTTTTAACCCCATATTGCCACTCGAAACTACTACGGATTTCAGGCTCATTATTATGGATAGTCACCCTCAGGTCGAAAGAAGACTTTAGCTTTCGCAGACCCGTTGGCGTCTATCTCGGTCAAGCGCCTTACATCGCCTCTGAACTCTTCGTCGGTCGTGGCTACGAGCTTGATGAGATCTCAAGAATTCTACACCATGATCACAAGGCTCAAAGGCAACGGCGCCTAGTCCTCGGTGGTATGGGTGGTATTGGCAAGACTCAGCTTGCGATCGCCTACGCACAGTCCGGTCGTGAATCTTATAGCTCAGTATTCTGGCTTAATGCAGTATCTGAGGCTGCATTGAAAGACAGTTTCCGATCGATAGCCAGCCTTATCTTCGACGTCCAGGAGCCCGGGGTGCTAGAGGACAAAGAGATCGTGAGACGTGTACACCAATGGCTATCTACCCCAAATAATACTGGATGGTTGTTAGTCTTTGATAACTACGACGACCCCGACCAGTTTCGGATTAACGACTTTTACCCTCCTGCTTCTCATGGAGCTATTGTGGTCACTACTCGACGGCCAGATCTCGTTGCTGGCAGCACTCTTAACATAAAGCCGTTGCAGAATATTGAGGATAGCCTAGCAATCCTACAGACCCGATCAGAACGAGAGAACATTCAGTCAGGTATGCTATATCTAAATATATTTGGGATCTTCTAATCGCTACCGTTAGATCCTCATGCGAAGCACCTCGCAAAGCGACTTGCGGGTCTTCCTCTCGCTTTAGCCACGGCCGGGACGTATCTTCAGCGAAGAAAAGGCTTTACTTTCGAACGTTACCTTCACCAGTACGAGAAACGCTGGAACATTGATCCCCGCCGGCCTACCAAGCTCAACGAGTATGAGGAGCGTACACTCTACACGACCTGGGATATATCATACGCTCGCCTAGAAAAGGAAGATCCGGACGCGGCGAAAATACTGAAGCTACTGGCCTACTTCGATAACCAGAGTTTTTGGTACGAGCTTTTTCATGCCGGACTCACCGATAGTTCTCCTGAGTGGCTTCATGAAGTGATCACAGATGATGTGAATTTCAATGGAGTGATGGGAATCCTGGCCGAATTCTATTTCCTGGATACTCAACAGACGTCTGGGTCATGGAGCATGCATAACTGCGTGCACGACTGGACTTTAGCAGTACTTAACAAGGACATTGATGCAAATCATTACTGGTATGTTTTTGACTGCATTTCTGCGTCTGTAAAAGATGACAACGCGGATGACTTTGCAAACCTCTCTTACTCCCGCTTGGCTGCTCATGCCACGCGACTAGTACAAGAGCGCTTGTGCACGAACGACGTTATATTTAATCTTACGCCTCATCGACTCGACCAAGCTTCACTGATTGCAAAGCTACTTCGAAACCAAGTACTTCTTCTTGCTGCGGAGCAGATGTACCAGCGGGCGCTAGCTGGGAAGGAGAAAGCACTCGGACCAGACCACACGTCGACCCTCGACACTGTCCATAATCTTGGGATTCTATATCGGGACCAAGACAAGCTGGACCAGGCGGAGCAGATGTACCAGCAGGCGCTAGCTGGGAAGGAGAAAGCGCTCGGACCGGACCACACGTCGACCCTCGACACTGTCCATAGCCTCGGGATTCTATATCGGGACCAAGATAAGCTGGACCAGGCGGAGCAGATATACCAGCGGGCGCTAGCTGGGTACGAGAAAGCGCTTGGACCGGACCACACGTCGACCCTCGATACTGTCACCTGTCTTGGAATTCTATATCGGGACCAAGGTAAGCTGGACCAGGCGGAGCAGATGTACCAGCGGGCACTAGCTGGGAGGGAGAAAGCGCTCGGACCGGACCACACGTCGACCTTCGAGACTGTCAACAATCTCGGGGTTCTGTATCGGGACCAAGGTAAGCTGGAGCAGGCGGAGCAGATGTACCAGCGGGCACTAGCTGGGAGGGAGAAAGCGCTCGGACCGGACCACACGTCGACCTTCGAGACTGTCAACAATCTCGGGGTTCTGTATCGGGACCAAGGTAAGCTGGAGCAGGGGGAGCAGATGTACCAGCGGGCACTAGCTGGGAAGGAGAAAGCGCTTGGACCGGACCATACGTCGACCCTCGAGACTGTCAACAATCTCGGGGTTCTGTATCGGGACCAAGGTAAGCTGGAGCAGGCGGAGCAGATGTACCAGCGGGCGGGGCTAGGGAAGGAGACGAGGAATACTGCTACTTGCTTCTTTAAATGATGATCTTAATTCAATATCTCTCGCGCTCGCGCTGTCCTCCCTGGCATTGTTTAACTCTATTCCTGACCTCAGAGATAAATAGGCGGCAAGTCTTAAATTCAGCACCACTCTACCCGACGTAATAGCCAGTTACTTCTTTCGGAAATCAGTTTATCATTCGTCATGATAGACAGAGACAGCTCTCAGAAATGATGACTGGCATGTGCCGCACAGGCGGAGAAGGAAAACCAACCTCACCGAGCAGATCAAGTTAGCAGGCGTCAAGCGGTCCATACGATTTGCAGAAACCCACCAGTTAGGGTCCATAGAATTCCACCGAATTCTCAGGAGGGCATGTGTAATATTACGTCGGAAGATACAGTACCATACAAGGCGCATTTAACTGCGTCCCTCAATTGAATATGAGCTGCTCAATGGATTGATCCGCGCTCAGGTCTTGGCGGTGGGGCCGAGAAAGATAATCTCAGTGTGTACTGGTCAAGGCAATTTCGAGAATGACTGTATGGCTCACCTGCCATGAAGCAAGACAAAACCACCAGCATTCCTCGGGTCGTTTGGAGTTCCAGGACTGAAAAGGACGCGAGATGCCAACCGAGAACAATGAGGATCGCCCATTGGACGCCAGGAATTCGATCCACGAGGAGGCTATTCTTTCACAGTGTTCGAACGCCAAGACACACTGTGGTATAAGCCCGTTGTGCCTTGGACTTCGTATCGGGCAGACACATCAGCACATGACTGATGCACGGAGTCGACTGAGAGAAGGGCCGAGACGATCTGAACCTTACATTGACTCATCATCGATGATCTTGTCTGCTCGGGTCCCCTATACCGATGCGATCGCATGCTGTCTATCACTTCCACATGACTTGTTCGCTTCACATTCTACTCGAGTATGAGTGAATTTGAGGGACCTCCTGTTGTACGATCCGAGTCAGCTAGGCTTACCACTTGGACGAGTTGTTATGACTTACCTGTTCATAATGTTCGCAGAATGTTCGCTTGAGACGAGACGATCAATTAGCTTCGTGGTCATATCTTACCGACGAGATCACTTACAATTGTCTTCATCAATGCAGTCACCATCCATGCCATGTTGACATGATGTTGTCTCCAGTTCGTCGCACTCTCCGGCTATCACTTCGAAGAAGCCGCGCTGGGTGCACCGGGCAACTTCTGAGAGCCAAAGGCGCGTGACGAACCACCTGCGATAGGAAATTGTACAGTCGTCATGGGGTTAGGACCTCGCGATGCGGACGGCCATAGGTTCATACACTCCGCCGTTCAGTGTGAAGGCGGTGAGGTCGAGGGCGGAAGACGCGATGGAGCACGCGTCGTAGTGACGCCTTGGCCTTATCTGGATCCGACGATAAAAGGACTTCCCACAAGGATGTTTCACGGGTGGCGACGGGCTGCTCCTATATACAATGGCATGAATCTAGTAATGGTATTCGTGTTCTGGGGCACATGAATTGGCGCAAATAACTGATATAGCGCAGCAGCGGGGGCGATAAATCACTCACATTATCAGGAAGAATGGACCTCTCAAGCTTCTATACAGCGAAGCACGCAATCGGATATTCGCACCTTTATTTGGCCGCTCGTTTGGTTCATATACCTCACCTACGGTATGCTGCGTAGTTTGGAGCGACGGGGCCAGGAATAGTGTGTAAGCCATGGCTTTGCGCGGAGCACTGACTGGGATGCTTAATCCTCAAGGGTCACTGTCGTTCATTAGCTTGTAGATCGGAGAGACATCTCAGGACTCACCTGTTCTGGTGGACCAGGGACGAAGAGACAGCAAAGAGCTGTGATCCTTGCGCTCGTGCATTTTAGTCGAATGTGTTGTAGTTCATAGGTATGAATTGTTGTATTTATTCAGAGGGAAACATGAGGCTATATATACAACGAGAAGATCAAGTTGATTGGAAATCAACTTGATTCTTCGTATAGACACCTCGGGATTAATTCCGATGGTTCGGCTTGGTTCCTGATCTGCATCAGCCACATATCACAACATTTTCTTTGGTCACCGCCGTTAGGTACGATGCTACCAGCACTTTTAACTACCGGGACTCGGTTTCATGCTTAGACACATTTTGAATTCAAGCGACACTAGCAATAGCTTTTGGCTAGGTGCAATGACATCTAGCACTTACAAAGAAGAAACGGTTGCGTAGTGCTCTGTGGAGTTTTACTGATCAGGGTTTCATTTGTTTAGATGCTAAGCTTGCTCCAAACTCTCTATCTCACTACTTGTTCTCTACATCACGGCTATGCTCTGAGATGCTGATCCCAATGCCGACTGTCTGGTCACATAGCATCACGGGTGAGTGATTGACAGTCGCTTCTCTAATCTCAAGTCCATTTCTGCCACACCTCCGCTGTAAAATGTGATCAATTATGCTCGGTGGAATTCAGTGGTGCCGACAGGCGAAGTGATATAGAGATAGAAGAGTCCCGCGGCAGATGAGCTCCTGCTATTCTGGCTGAGCGACGGGGGCTATGTTCCTCACTCTGCTCGACTGATGCCCCTTGGGATCGCACTCTTCTAGCTGACTACGGACGCGGCTGACTTTGACGAGGATCGTTTGGTGGTGAATTCCTGGCCGTGATAAGTTCTCTATCGGGAGACGATTCGCTTGCCGTGTGGACGAAATGTCTCGGCATCCGACGAGGCGACTCGGAGTGGGCAAATCAAGGCGTCTAGAGTTCCTTCATTTCGACTATATTCATCAGCATCCCGATATTGCAGAACCGAGATCATCCATACTTACCAAACGCAGCATGATGTGCCAAAGTCTGGCCGTCGCTTTTCCAACTACTCTTCCGCGCAGGCTAGATGGGCGAGCGCTCGGTACTGATTGCAACGCAAGATCACGCACTCGTTTGCATGATCTTCATCCTCGGTCAGACAAAACACACAGTGGACGTCGTCGACCTCTTCACTCAAGCTGAGATTCTGGAGCGTCAAGTCTTGGACACCAGCCCGGATATTAGTGACCGACGACAGAATAGCTGGTCGAGCCGGCGAAACGTGCCATGGGACACTGTTCGTTCGCAGCATTGCGGCAGTGACAAAGGGATTGATTGGCTGCACCGGCTCGGAGCTAGTTGACAGGGGCACCGTCGAGTCTTATTTGATCCCGCGAGGCGTCGTCTGGAGGCTGACGATATCTGACGCGGGCTCGCATGTGTAGCAACTAATGGGGAGGCAATCCTGGAGACCTTTAATACTCGCGCCTGGTTGCGGACGGCTGCTTCATACCACTGCTGGCCAACTTGGTCGGCCTACCGTTGCCGGCCGACTTGACGCCGCTTAACCATGTCGACCAACACAATGACACCCTTCCCCCGAACCAACCCACACCAACCACCTTGTGCCAGAGACGGTAGACGCGCTTCAACTGCCGAGGATAGGATGTTGAACACTTGAAGAAGCGCCTTCAAGCCAGTCTACTAACAAAATTACTAACCCACGAGGACCCGCTACGATATTGACAGCTGAGATAACATATACTGACCATATATGGGCTCCAAGGAGACATGGTATTCAATAGGACATGTATTGATAGATCAGTGATAGTTGCCCTTTCGGCTTGGCCGCCGGGCGTTGATGAATTGTGTGTGTAAATCAAAGCAAGCTTCTCTTTTATGGGTCAGAGCTGTAAAGTCTGTAGTCGAAGCAGTTGTAGAAACATGAAGCGGTCTATCTGGACACATCATCAGCGCACTACCAACCCGAGGGAGAAAGTATGAGGTATATAAATTGAAAACATCCGGTAAGCTCGTGGGATCCATAGATAAGTGGCGGGCGTACGGGGGGAATGTGTTGCATCATCTCGCTTTTCTGCGAAGTCGCCTTGGCTTAACTACGGATATATTTTCGCGGCATTAGGATGCTTCACCATTTTTGATAAATCGTGTTATAACACTGGAGTCTCTATCATCTAAATTCGAAATCAAATTACTGCCATCTTTGGTACACAAAGGGTCCTTTCCGTTGACAAAAACCAGAGAGACGGATGATATTTTGACGTTCACTTATTATATTCCCATTGCCTCAAGCTGTGCAATTAGCTGGGGTGGTGTCACATCCTCAGGTGATAGCCGCAAGGGGCGTGGAATCAAATGATGACGCTGATGCCGAGCTATATGCACTATATCTTAGTATTTCTTTACTTTAAAGACCAAGATTCTGAGACATGGCACTATTGGCTCCCCAAGCCACATCAGAATCTACCGAGAAAGGCGTGGTCTTACCTGCTAGAATGTCATGGACAGTTTGACTTCTTATAATAGCACGTGGGGGTATATAATGGGCAATAAGATACTCCCTAGCAACACTCGCTTGGGCTGCTTCTGATATCGACAACGAAAGTGCATCAACAATCTCCTCGGCGCGGAAGATAAAAAAGCCGTGAAGAGCCGCCGTATTAATCTGAAGGAGAGTGCAGTTTCTGCTGCCAAAACGGGTATGCCTTTCCAGCATCCAATTTTCAGCATGTCTTCCCTGAGAAAAGAGCGAGATAAAAATGCTCCTATAGCCAGGGTCCCAGCTCAAATGCTGCTCTACTGCGTCGCCAAACTCTTGGAGAGTATCGTCTTCTTCCTGTTCGTCCCCTTCACCATCATATAACGTAACCGTATCATCTGCCTCGAGCCCCTCATATATATCATAGGTCGTCATAGAATCCTCATATTGGACTCTGTAGAGAGTACTAGGGACATCGGCTGGATGGAGGCTGAATGTATTCATTACTATATGCCAATTGATGAGAGGCGTCCTTCATACCGATCAGTTACACGAGAGAACGCTTACCGAGCAGGTATACTTTGCGGTACGGCACGAATTGGAGAATGAAGAGAAGTCCCAAAAACCTGGCGCCTTGATCACTCTAAAGGATAGCACCTCCTCGAGCCGAGGGCAATCTCAATATATTTCTTTTACCGCAGGGTTTCATCAAGTTTGGGGGGTATTTAATGTCAATGCATTGCGGCCCAGCCCCGCTTCCAATTCATTAGCAAGCACGCAGTACAAACGAATGGCAAGCCAATAACAATACAACATTATGAAAGTGCGTAGCAAGAGCATGCATGCAACCAGCGTGCGTGACCAATAAATAAGCTGTAAGTACACTGATGAACGATAGGGTTAGGGGGTCAGCTGATAGGGTTATGAGTGAAATAAGCCAGTAAATCACGATATAAACCGCTAACACTAAACCACGATGATGAATGCTTGAGCAGCAATCAAAAGTGGGCGTGGAAAGAGGATATAGCGAACCAGAGGATAGAAGTGGGTCAAGGTAGCGAATGAGGATCTAGAATTTGGGTAACAACAGCATAATAAATAAAGTTTGAGAACAGGGGTGTTCCCGCGGGCGGAGAAACGGTTGGCAGACCAATTAGAAGAAGACTTTAAAAAAGTGCGTAGCAAAAGCATGCAAGCAATGAATGAGAGTGTACAACGAATAAGCAGCAAATATGAAGCACAGACCCTAGGGTTAAGGAGTCAGCTGTTAGGGTTATAGAGGAAAGAGCCAGTAGACCAGGACAAAAAACGCCAACACTAACCCAAGATGATGAATTCTTGAAAAGCAATCAGAAGAGGGCGTGGAATGAGAAGAAATCAGAAAGTATCGAATCAGAGGCGAGCAGTGGATCAGACTAGCGAATCAGAAGCCACAATTTGGCTAACATCAGGCAAAAAAATAAAAGTTTTGGAACAGGGGTATTCCCGCGAGCGGAGAATCCCTTTCTCTCACTTCGTTCGTTTCAGGGTATTCACTGGTAACTATACATGAGCCATTGTTATATTACCGTAATTTCCCGTAAAAATATTTCATGCCAACAGACCAAACAGGAGAAATCCTAGAAATCTGGTGACAGCCTCTTCCGCTCCTTACGTCATAGTCTCCTCGGCAAGGCAAGGCGGTGCCACGCTCCGCAGCCGGAGGAATGAGCCATCCACTCACAACCGAGTGGATAATTCTGCTTACTTTAGTCGCATATGAATGGTCGGGGCAGTTAATGATGTAGGTGGGCCCGCCCTTGTTCCTGGACAGGATATCTGCCACTGTGGTGCCCCACCAATCGTGCACACCGCAGGGGCCCATCCCTCGACTGTTTCGTTCTTTGCTCTCCAGCTAAATCACTTCAGCCTACCACATACCAATCTATCCTTCAGTTAATCTGCCTTGTGCGGAAATATCGCCCAAATACGCCGCCTCATTGGTCCCACCCTCAACTCATTCTCATATTTTATATTGGGACAGACATCGCGTACTCTGCTCACTGTATCAACTGGTAGTTCGGAGATGGACGGCGAGTATGGCTCTTACTAGTGGTCTATTGACTCTTACTCTGGACAATACGGGCACGCCCGTCTGCAAGCCTTTTGTCACAACACCTCTGAGAGACGAGGGGACGGCACTAGCAGAACCCAACCGGAGCTCGAATTCTAAGGACGAGAAGAAGATGGAGACGCCGCTGAAATGCACAGGTTTCGACGCCTCCTTGAGTCGAATTTATCGTTATCACCCGGTCCCTACCTTGATTCTTGATGAGGATTGGTGCATCGTGGAAGTTTCAGACAGTCATTGTACCTTAGGTCAATCTAGGGATGAACTAGTAGGCACTTGCGCCTGCGACGTTCCGGTCTACATCATTCCTGCGCCGGACACTTCTACTCTATATGGAGCGCTACGTACAGCTATCAGCTCGAAAGAGGTTCAAATCATTCAGGGTATACACGTCAAAAGCAAAAATTCGATATATCAGCTTCGCATAACGCCAATCTTCGAAAAATCGTCACTGATCTTTGTCGTATTGGAGGCACAAGACACTTCAAAAGATCACTGGGTCGCGACGGATGAACAGCACACCTACATGAACGAAACTTACAAAATATTGCTCGATGCTGTGAAAGATTACGCCATCTTTATGCTCGACACTCGGGGCAACATCACCACGTGGAATCCTGGCGCCGCGATATTGAAGGGATACTCTTCCTCGGAAATCATCGGCAAGCACTTCTCCATTTTCTATAGTCCTGAGGACCGTGATATAGAAAAGCCAGGTAGAGGTCTAGCACGGGCTTTACAGGAGGGACGGATGGAAGATGAAGGCTGGCGATATCGACAAGATGGATCGCGTTTTTGGGCCAACGTGATGATCACGCCCATTCACCAATTCGGTCGTCACGTTGGCTTTGTCAAGGTCACGCGTGACCTCACGGGACGGAAGGCTGCTGAGACACGCATGGTCGCAGCCTTCGAGGAGTCAGCGAAGATGAAGACGGATTTCTTGGCAAATATGAGCCATGAGATACGGAACCCCATGAACGGTATGCAGCTTGCGCTCGCGATGATCAAGGATACCGATCTTACCGACCAGCAACTTGAATACGCTTCGATCATTGAGGACTCGACATCGATCTTGCTCCAGATTATCAACGACATCCTCGACTGCTCGAAGCTGTCATCTGGGTCTTTTTCTCTTCACTCCGACGTCGTGGATATCAAGGGCATTCTTGATGCTGTCATGCGCAACTGCAGGTCTCTCTTGAAACCCGGAGTTGAGCTGGATTGTTCGATCCCACCGGACTTCCCTAAAGCTGTGCGTGGTGATCCTTTACGGTATCGCCAGGTGGTTCAGAATATGCTTGGGAACGCAGTGAAATTTACGGAGACCGGCTATATTCGACTCTCTACTACTTTCTCTCTCGTCGAATCGGACCCGCAGGCATACATGGTTACAACAGAGTTTGCGGACACTGGAGTTGGAATTCCTGATTTTGCTCTCAATACTCTCTTCACACCTTTTACGCAATTTACCGATTCCGCAGCCCAGAAGTACCAAGGCACTGGCCTTGGTCTTTCGATTTGCAAAACTTTAGCTGAGCTTATGGACGGTACGGTGGGCTATAGGCCTGGTCCACAAAGCAAAGGCAGTGTGTTCTGGTTCACAGCCAGAATGGGTCGCATAGACATAGGCTATTCAAACAAGCAGCCTGCCATGCCTTCAATCGATGATGCGAAGGACCTCTTGAATAGAGTGCGGGAGATTGCGCCGCGCAAGCGTATTTTACTTGTCGAGGATAACCTTGTCAACCATATGGTAATGCTCAAGCTTCTTCAAAGCCTTGGTTTCAAGCGCATCGACGTTGCCTGGGACGGGGCGGAGGCCGTTCGACAAGTCAAGCAAACGACTTTGTCCTACAATGTGGTTCTCATGGACATCAGCATGCCGGTGCTAGATGGTTTGGAAGCGACATCGCAAATCAGAGGCATGGGCATTGACGTGCCTATAGTTGCCCTTACAGCAAATGCGCTAAAGGGAGATATGGAGACGTATCTTGCTAAGGGGATGAATGATTATATCGGAAAACCGATCCACCGCGAACAGTTGATGCAAGTCCTCTGGAAATGGATGGGGACCTGACAGGCCCCTTAAACAGAACGTTAAATACAGTACAGTCGGATCGGTCTTCTCGTCCATCAAGCATCCTCTGTGACAGAATACTTTCCTGTTCTCCCTTTCCCGTTCGGGCCAGGCCTGGAGGAAGGAAAAGTGTGATCGTCCACCTACTTGAAACAAGTACCCAGATTGCCTCGACAGAGATATCTCGACCACATCTGGAGCTGCTTTTCAATGGCAATCTTGTTGAAGCGCTTGGTCATATTACGCTGGGATTTATCGTTGAGTGGCACAAGAATCGCAGTGTCATTAGCTTAGCCCTTATCCCGTCGTTGCGGGGTTTTTGTCGAAGATGAACCTACAACTACATCTGATAGAGTCCCCCTGATCCCTCTTCCTCTCCGCGTTCCTGAGCTTGTCGACACAAACGAGCGAGCGGGAACAAATCATTCGGACATACACGGAGCTGTATGCTATCAAAAATGTTTGTCTCGTCCCTATTGGACCGAAGGTTGTTTGGTTTGATTCCGAAGCCTGCGTTTTTCTATCCAAGCCCGAGCACTATGTGCAAAGCCCATATACATTGAATGTCACTGCAGCTGGAGGTCAGCCAAGCTATCCAATATCCTTTGTCCATTGAGACCGTTTTCTAACATATCGCAATTGGCGGCGCAAGCAGGTCTAGCCAGCAAATCACCGACTTCTCTACCTCCCGAGCTCACTGTACTTTGAGCATCGATGATGTTTCCGCAAACTCATCGCGTCCGGACGATCTCTGGCATATCACTGTTCGCCTAATTCACAGAAGGTGGGTACGATGATTGTAACAGCACCACAAGAGCCCTCGGGTTGTAGGACCCCTTGGACTCTCCCATACAGTCTATACTATATTTTCTACCCCTAATAAGCGCTCACGTCATATTTGCTTTGGAAGGATGGTTTAGGTGCATGCCTGCGACGACTACACGTAGATCAGATTAACCCTGTGCGAATATCATCCGGTCCTGAACGGCGATCGTAGAGAGATATTTTTGCCAGGTCTGGTTTCAGATGGCTTATGTTGAAGCCCGATCGGACTTCAACCGTGTTATATCAGTAGCGGAGCATGCTGTATCGCATGGCTCAGGAATACGTCCACAGAAAGTAACGACCGTTTCTTCATCGCTGTAGTGGACATTCTACGAGAGCTTGAGTGGACTATGGATCGTAAGTACTGACGGGAAATTATTGACGAAGTTGCGACGGCTCCTACATGTAGAAGGAGCTGATCAGATATTCTTGAGCCAAAGCTTCCCAATGACAAGTTGAACACGAGGGAAAGCTACACTCACTCTCGCAATCCCTCTATGATGTAGGCATTCTAGTGTAGAATAGGTTCAAGTGACTAGCAATAGTCATCGCAAGCAATTTCTTTGACGACGCAAGAAACAGAGCCTATCGCATAATCATCTTGAATTGAGCCCACGATTCGGATTTTCGAGACACATCACATGGCTCTACACCCGTAGGTCTGATCTTGAGCGTACAGTATATTGCGTGATCATAGATGAGCAATGTGTGAATCAGATCATTTCAACTGAGTTGGTGGAGGCTGTACGTCAAGGCGTGACCAACAGGGATCAAAATTGCCTTGCGAAATCAAAAAAATGCAATTGAAGTTTCTATGATGTGGGTGACATGGCAAGAAACCGCGCTGCCTCCATGAGACGTTGAACACCCCTCTCTTCACCACCCGACCATTCACTACAACAGTAATGTTTCGCTACACACATTTCACCGCATCGACATCAACACACCAACACATCAACACACCAACACATCAACACACCAACACATCAACACACCAACACATCAACACACCAACACATCAACACACCAACACATCAACACACCAACACATCAACACACCAACACATCAACACACCAACACATCAACACACCAACACATCAACACACCAACACATCAACACACCAACACATCAACACACCAACACATCAACACACCAACACATACCGCTCCGCACGAATCGAATCGAATCGAACTTTTGGCAAATTCGATTCGATTCGAACTAATATTGAACATAACGATTCGTACGAATTCGAATTCAAGACCGATTCGACTTCGATTCGAAGTTCGCGACCTTTTTTGTTCTAAAGCTTCATTGGGAAGGCGGTCAATCACGCCTGTTGTTCAATACGATAGCTAGCAATCAATACCTCATACAGGTAGTCTAATAATTAGTTAACTAATAGTTGGATACAGAGATAAGTAGGCTAGATTCAGTCTGATATCAAAATTGGGCAATCTGACCTTAAGATTAAGAAGCTGTAGGGCAGTATTAATTGATGCAATTTTCGTCCAAAACCTGCATCCAAATATATATTATTCGACTCCTGAGGTTACTCCACAGATCGATAATCTTATATGTGGTCTGTTTTGCTTCAAATTATACTAGCTCATAGATCGTACTGAGATACACGTAATATATTAATTTAGAGTTATAGTATGAATAGTTGCACATTGCATTTAATGAAGAGTAGATGGATAGTCTAATCGGGTTAGCGGAGACTCCACAAGAACGTGTCTTCGCGCATACGTGCTTTTACCAAGAACAACATCCAAATGGGGTTCAAAAGCTACTGCAAACCGTCACTTCAGGGTGCCCGAGGGTAAGCGATCGATCAAGACACAAGCTTGAAATACTAATATAACGTTACATATGACTTCTCCACTTGCTACAACAGTTGACTGTCCTAATACTAGGAAGAATAAACGCGGTTATGCGGCGCTTAATAAATATGGCCTCCTTGCAGAGGATATACCACTTCCGCCTCCCCGAAAGAAGATGGCGGTGCGGTCCGCCCTTAAGTCGCCGACTCCTCCGATTTCAACCTCTCCTACGGCTCCCAGCAATGTCTCTATGAGTTTATCGAATCTTGATACGGATATATGTCCCTCGCAATCAATATCTCAGGTCGAATGCGAGGTAGAGAGGATCGAAATCAAACAGAAAGATAAGACTAAGTCGAAAGAGCGGAGCTGGGTTTGGAAACACTACCTTACTACACCTGAATCTGGTACCTAGATACTAGGAAATAAGGAGCGACCCGAGCTTAAAAACCTGTGTATTATGTCGCCATCCACCTGCCGATTCTTTCGATTTGCATCGAAACTGCGATCTTCAACCACAGCGTTAAAACAGCACCTGCAGCAAACCCACAAGCTCTTCCAGGACGGCCATTCAGAGTGGCAAGGACCGCTAAGCTCATGGATTTCCAAGGAAAAGAAGCTCCCATTCGAAGAAGCTGTCTTGAATTAGATCGTATTAACCTGCCAACCGTTTACATGCGTCGAACAGCCTTCATTCAAGGCTATGTTGAGGTCCGCAGGCTTTCAGGACTCTGTGCCAAGTGCGGATACTATGTCGCACCGATTATGTCTTCGGTTTGATGCTCTTGACAGTGAACTTCGAATCTTAATGTCTTCTGCATCCTCAATTGCGCTATCTTGAGATGGTTAGATAAGTCAGAATTCATTGCCAATGCTAGCAATTAATGCTCACTGGATGTCCTCCGCTTTCCAGCAATATCAAGCATGTATTAAGTTCGTTGAAATCGAAGGCAATCACTCTGGAGAGAACCTTGCTAATATCGTTGCGACGGTTCTCGAGAGGTTTCATATATCTGATAAAGTTATGACATTTACAGCTGACAACGCGTCGAATAACGATACCCTACACCGATATCTTTACCAAAAGCTGTCTCAGCGGTACGATGAGTACCTGGCCGAGACTATCATCCGAGAAGGGACGATGAAAGTTACCCATAACTCCCAAATCCGCTGCTTTGCTCACATCTTGAACTTGGTTATGAAAACTATATTGAGGTCTCTACGCGCCAGTTCGCATAAGGAAGCCTGTGATATCCTTGATGATGTTGCTAAGAGCAGCTGGAAGACGGTCAACGCTCCTACATCGCCTATTGCAAAGCTTCGACTACTTGTCCTTTGGATTGCGCGATCTCCTCAGCGGATACAGAAGTGGGATAATCGACCTGGTTGTACAAAAGCTATCAACTACGATGTTGATACTCGGTGGAACTCTACCTTTGTTATGATTGTGAGAGCTGAAGAGTGTTGCCGTCAGCTCGAAAATACAGTCAACGATGATCCAGATATCGAAGCCTTACGTCTCACAGTAAACGACTGGAGACAGCTCTCGGATATCAAGAAGATCCTGGCTCCCTTCAACGAATATACCGAGTACGTCTCTCGGGATAGCCCTTCAATTCATATGGCAGCGCGTATGTTTGGAGAGCTCCGTTCTATTCCCCTCGCTATCAAGGAACGACGAGGCGAGTGGCAGAAGGTCTCACCAGCAATAACTGTTCCTGTTTCCGTGGAATCTCACTCCTAGAGAAGTACCACGACTGCGTCAAAGACAACGACATATACTATATCGCAAGCGTTCTGGACCCTCAAATCAAGACCAAGTGGCTCAAAACGCTACTAGATGGAGAGAAGATTATTGACCGAATCCGGGAGTTCCTGAAGAAAGCATATTCCGCTCCAAAACAGCCTGTGTCGACTACTCCAAGCACCAATTGGAAGAGCTTCGAATATCGATTTCTGGAAGCCTTTCAACCTACAAAGTATAACGTCGCTGAGTCTGATATTGATAAGTATTTCGATACTCCGACAATCAGCACTGGTTTCGATATAAGCCAGAGCCAGTCCGAGTTTATACGAAACTGGTGGAAGGCCAACATGCTTGAATTTAGTTGTATGGCAAAGGTAGCACAAGATCACCTTGCTATACCGGCAGCAGAGGTAGATATCGAGAGATTGTTCAATGGTGGGAGAGATGTGCTGGGGATTCGACGTTTCTCCATGGAAGGCAAGACCCTTGGGACCTTATTAAGACTGAAAGATGCTGCACGTTGGAAGTCTTAATAGTTAGACATTAATAGCTTTTTTGGGCATGCAGGTGTTTGATATTCTAGACCTTATTTGCAGAAGTATTCTTGTAGGGACCGGGCATCACGAAACCTCGTTCCACAAACCATTTTTCCTAAAAAGGCTAGATATTAGTTCGCGAACTTCGAACAGTTCGAAAATTCGTGCGGAGCGGTACGCGTCGCGCATCGACAGAATCTTCGTGGCCATCCTAGTGGGGATGTGGTCAAGGAGGGCAATGTTGCCTTCGACATCTTTTCCGAATGCTCCATTAACATCTTCTCTGGAGACTTTTGTCGCCATGAAGGTGGGCTTCTTTGGATCTTTTGGGCCACCACCGTCGTCATCTTCGTCGTCGGTTGAGGGCCGCCTCTTTCGATAGCTTGCGTGCCCCAGTATATGCTGTACTTGGCTTTGCCTTGTGTCCCTTTCCATTCTTCTTTTGATCCTTCAGCCTGGGATTCTTGCTAAAGCATTCGGAGTCCACATGGTAAAGTTTCCGGCAAAATGAGCAATATGGAACGTTATCAATCTCGATTCGACATGTCGTTCCGTTGGATGACGGTATGAGTTTCTTATCACCTGGCCCTCGGATTAGAGCGAGAGCAGGAAGCGCTTGCGCATCCGTTGGTTGTTTGTTCCATTGCCCCTTCCTAAGTTTTTCCTCAATTGCCTTGTTCTCGATATAGTCGAACGTGGGCGCCGCTTTCGTGATGTTCCCATTTGCGTCCCTCTCATTAACAAGATCCATTTGCCGAAATATATGATCGCGAAAGCTTTCGTACTCAGGACCTAGTGCGTGCATGAAAAAGAATGTTCGCTCAATCTCAGGTCACGCAGTCAGGGTCAAGGAGGAGTTTTCCAGCATGGATTTTCCTAATCTCGGCTCCGAGGGCTTGGGCGCTTCCACATTTTTCTCTTGTGAGGGACATGTACCGTCGCTGGAGATTAACGAAAGTGCCAGTGCCATCTGGTGTGAAGCTGTCTTTTACTGCCATTAAAAGTGGCTGAACTCGAGAAAAACTGAAGGCATTGACCCTCTGCGCCGCATTGTAGGTCAATTTTGCCGTGATCATCGCAGAGTAGAACTTTTGACGATGAGTCCATTGCTGCGCCTCGACTTCTTCAATCGGTGAAGTTGTTCCATCGTCAGCGACAGGGGCTATCCGAATGAACTCATTTACCTTCTAGTTCCACAGAAACCAGTCACTAGAGTTATCAAGGATTGGAATATCATTATAGAATGCATTTAGACCAAACTGCTCAAATTTCGTGATGTCAGTAATGGTGTAGACGGATGCTCCTCTGAGATGAAGAATTCTAAGCTGGAGATGTCGTCGGATAAACTGGAGGTAACCGGGGAATCACGATCTGATGAGCAAGTAGGAAATACAATAAAGCAGTTCTTTCTCACCTCTCAAGTCAGATTGCCATCTAATTTAAGGCCCTTCAAAGCGAACCAACCCACCCAATTTCTGCCCCACACTCCCCATGCCTACGCCCGAAAACTACTACTCCCTCTTGCCCTCAAATCAACGAAGTTGTTCGCATCTCCACCGCTTACTCCACCGCTTACTCCACCGCTTACTCCACCTACCATCCACGTGATGACGCTGTCCTGCTTTTCTTGCGGGACCGAGTGGAGCGACTTGGACCCAGCGCACGCTCATCTTACAAAATAACCCATGGAAACTCACGAGATGCTAGATATGTGCCGTGATGTGCAGCAGCGGCTACCTCCATACACTGACCAAAGCCCACCAGTGCCCACGAATCCGCCGCCCGTCGAAAACGTATATCAACTTGAAGACGACGGGTTCGAGACCCGAAGTCAATGTGCAATGGCGTCATCCTACTAGGAGTGATCTTCCCGTTGGTTTCATGGCTTTGATCGCTGGTAGGTATGGCAGCTATATCAGCAGCCTAAGGCGCGTCAGACATATGGTACACCAGGACTCGCTATCTCACTAGGGTTCGACTACAACTACAGAGATGCCGCAAACGAAGGTAATGCGCAGCATTGGTTGAAATGAAAGATAACAGGGCTGCTTATGACTGCTTTACAAAAAATGAGGAAATCATTAAAGACCCACATATACCTCATTTTCAAAACTTTTACTTTTCCATAGCCTTCTCGAATAAGGAGTGGAATAGCGATTCCGTTTTCTCCATATCGACTTTGGCTGCTTGGTCCATCAGGCGTTGGGATCTGCTTATTATCTGATCATGTAGGGACTGCCAGTCGACACCGACAAGCTGCCCATCACGCTTGACAATGTTTCCGTCGACGATAACGGTGTCAATGTTCTTCGGTGATACATGGAAGACCACAGTTCCGATAGGGTTCACAACGGGCACCGTGTCAATGTCGTCACAGCGGAAGATCACCAGGTCAGCCTTTTTGCCAGGAACGATAGAACCAATCGACGACTCCATATTCATAACCTCTGCCCCTCCCAAGGTTGCCATGCGTAATACGTCTGCTGTCTTCCTGCGGACATCTCTGTGTACTGTATTATCATAGTCGCGGGCTCGTTGCGTCTGAAGTGCCAACCTCATCTGTGCCATGAAATCATTTCCTTGATTCGAAGTAATATCGAGTCCAAGGCACGTTCGACAGCCCAGATCAGCCGCATGCCATACAACGGGATATCCCATCCCCATCTGCAGCTCAGTATCGGGCGTCCCGACAATACCAGCCCCATAATTCCGTACGGCAGCCATCTCGCTATCTGTCATCCAACCTCCGTGACTGAACACAAGGTCAGACCCCATCAGTTTCGCATCGACAAAACTCTGGACGACTTCTGGCTTAGGGGCCCCGTGAGATACCACTGAAGCATGTACGGTCGTGAGCCTGGCTCTCAGATTTCTCGCGAGTTCTAGTTCCGCGATGTTTTCTTCCCGGGACTGCGTCGGTGGGTCGTTCAATGCAATACCGAATGTGAGAAGCGAACTGTGGGGATCATTGCTCGGAAAATGTTCTTGGCGCACACGGAAAGCATCATCAACTCGTGCGGCCTGGTCAAACGTGTCTGTCGCAGTACTCGCGTGATCCCCAGGTTCTTTTGGGTTCTGGTAGAACCCATAGCAGAATGTGCCTCGAATAGCTGCATCCTTCAGGCCCTTCACAGCTGCATCAGCGTGTGCGGGCGAGTTTATAACATGGCAGTGGTCCAGGACGGTTGTGATGCCGCTGTTGAGCAGACTCAATGCAGCAGCATAGTTGGCGTAGTAGACATCATCTGGTGTGTACAAACTCCCATGGACACTCCTCAGGTGACATGCATAACCAAACAGGGACCAATCAACCGTAATGCCGCGCAGGAGGTGCTGCCACATGTGATGGTGGCCGTCGACGAACCCCGGAGTAATAATGCAATTTTTTGCATCAATGGTGAACACATTGCTCTCGGTCGGCAAAGATAGGTCTTGGCCTATAGCATTTATCCGGTCATTTTCTATCAGAATGTCGCAATTGTCGAGGGGCTTCCCCTCCGATGCCTCCATAGAGATCACCGTTCCCCCTTTGATAAGAATGTATGAATTTGGCATAGTGTACCGTCTTCAATCACAGTGATAGATCAGAAAATATCGTGAAAATGCAAAGAGCAATGCAAAGACTTGTCGAGACAGCAACAGCAGTTTTATATTTATGGTTGACGTCACTGAGTCTGCCCGCGTCATTCGAAGTACTCATCGCCAGCACAATATGAAATGAGTGTGTTTTTAAATTATATCCTGGAATAGAGGTATAGGTAAAATAAGTAAATTTCGAATAGTTGTCTACAAACTAATTGTCCAAATTGTCCACCTCGTCGGATCTACCAATCTATACACAGTATACGCACTCTTGTTAATCGCCTGTTTATTCCAATTTAGACTAGGCTGATAACTGAGTAGCTAACCGCTCAAAACTAATATTCAATATCTCCACAACGTTGCACCATGGATCCGTAACGTAAACACACTCAATACCTCCCGTGTTGATCATTTGCCCAATCATTTGACCTCCAGACTCGACCACTTCCCTCGCCAAGCAAGCTGGGTCAGGATCAGTCACACAAATATGGAAAAATCCCTCTAGATTGTACTGAAAGAACTTTGCCTGAGGGACTGGGCGTGGATCAATGAATTCAATCACCTCAAGACTGGCCCCATTTCCAGTGGCCATATACGCAATTTTATACTCATTCAAACTGGCCGGATAGATCCGGAATATCGCCGCGTCTGGTGTTTCCGACCTCTTGATATGCATAATATCGCCCATCTGTTGGAAGCCCAAAATCCGACTATACCAGTCCACAAAAGGTTCAATGTGGGCCACGGACACAGCAACGTGGTTCAGCGGTCGGGGAGGGATTTTCTTGAGATGGGTTAGCTCGGACTGAAAGGACAGATAGGGAAGCTTAGCATTCACATGGGCCTGCACCTGCATGTTAAAGTAATTGGGCGTGTCTGAATAAGATTGAGAGTGAATCAAGGATAGTTACACTGCGACAGAATTACGGTGGGGTCTCCTGGCATTATATATCTGGATGCACCGAATATATAGCATATTTATGACGTCTAAATTGCTTCATTTATGTTTCGCATTTGAAATAACGATGACATATAGACCCCAGAGCAAACGTAGTAAGCCGCCGCACTCCCCGGGGCCAACCGTACGGACATGTCATTTCCGGAAGCCAATCGGCCTCTCGGCTTTTACAGTGACGTTTCATTAATGTTTTCACCCAAATACATCTACCTTTGACCGCTCTTACTATACCGCCTACCCATTCCTATACAGGCTTCTGATCCACTGACTTTTTGGATTAGCGTTGATTAAATCTGTGCCTACAGTCCTAAGAGAGTTGGGTATATATATTGGGGTAACTCACCACAATATCGGTCTACCTAAATAGAATATATTGTAAAAAACCATAACTGTATTAGGATTATTATCAATTGCCAGAGTCATGGTAAAGATGCGCAGTGCTTGAAATAGACTTTGGGGAACCGCAAATGGGTCGGCCCACAACGCTAACTCCTGCCATGTCCGAGAGCCAATCGTTTTCTTAGCTTCTAGTGTAAAAACCGGAGACATTATTTACGTAAGCTCACGTGGTCTGTCCAAAATTGGTGTAAATTTTTACAAGCTGTCTGGGAAGTGTTGGGCTCGAAGAGAGTATAATCAGGGAAAAGCTTGGTGCAGGAGAAGATATATAGCTTCTAGAACGTTCTACAGACCAAATAGAAAAACAGCAGCTTGCAACTTGACAGGAATCTTACTCAGCAACTAGGAGAACAACCACGGATCGTTTTTAGCCTACCATTCTTTCGCCAAAGTCTGCGCGATATTCCAATTACCTGACCTGCCCCAGCAGAACCTCCTAAACAACAAATACCCGCATTCCCAGGCTGACTGCCATCAAATTTGGGCTTGCGGATCGTGTCTGGACCTTTGCAAATCCTTCCAATTTCTTCTCCGGGCCACAAATAGAACCTCCTTGATCTACTATCCCGTGGGTCGTCGCTGAGCTTTCCATCGCAGAACCGTTCCAGCGTCCATCCACATTCACGCGCGTTATTTGATTGGTCCGACTAGTGCTTCTTGTGTCCAGGGTCTCATTATGGTATGATCGTAGCGTTGCAATCTCGCGAGGTGGACTGGTGATCACGATAACATAGCTCGTGAGTCTTGTTGCAACAGTGCACATGGCTGTCCTGGAAACTAGGCTCGGTTTCCCATGGAAGGCTTTCCAATAAGGTCTGGACTTTGATTATGCCCTCCCAAAGAAAGACAATCTTCATCCTGAGTTTAAGAGTATGTCAGTGTATGTGCGGCCAGGGAGTAGAGGTTCTAGTAAAGGCAACATTAGCTGGCTGTGAGTAGACAGGAAAGAAACAACATTCAGCGGCGCGGGGCCAGGGATGAACAGGATTGATTCTAGCGAGACCAAAGGGTCCTCCGGCCAACCGCAGGTACAGCTCAGCGTTTCTGTCGGCCACAAAGTCTCCAACCCATTATTTCAACGTCCGTTAAAGCACTTCAACCCTCATGAAAGAGACGGTGACCGTGGCTAGAACGGGCAGATGTAGACTGCCACCGCGTTGAGCGATTTAATTGCAAATTCAATGGTATGTAGGGATCATATTTTTGCGGCGTTACTGTCTTTTCAACAGTTGATGAAAGTGCTTCACCACACTCAACGCAGGTTTGAAAGCAATGAATTCAGGTCGAAACTTGAGTCTGTAAGCCACAAAGTCTCCAAACACCATTTCAACGTCGTTTAACTCGCTTCAACGACGCCTATCAACGAGATAGTGGTTCTTGCTACCATCTGCGCAACTGGTTCCTTGGTAGAAACGTAGCCTAAAAAATATAAAAGGAGCCGGATTTCCAGCCCAAAGAAATCAGGACTTCGGTCCTCACACTTTGATGCATCATAGTGTCCCTCTTTTGCCTGCGGGCTTGAGAGCTTCCGTAACCACGGCTGTCGCTGCCCACGAGCCCAGCGATGTAAGCAATGAGCCCTGTGTATGTAAAAATGTGCTTCGCAGGATGGGCTCTGCGTCAACAATATTCCTCGCAGGGGGGATGCTGCGAAATCAAGGACTTCAGAGCTTCCGTGACCACGGCTGTCGCTGCTCCGAGCCCAGCGATGTAAGACATGTGCTCCCTCGCTGCCCTGAGCCCCGCGAGCGTAAAAAGGTGGTTCGCAGGACGAGCTCTGCGTCAACAAATGTGCTTCGTAGGGAATTGCTGCGTTAAGAAGGCCTCTAGCAATGTGCAGGCACCTCTTCGCGGTGCTAGGGACCAGTATTCGAGTATTCAAGAGTACTCGAAGAAGCAAAGATCTGCGCAACATCTTGATGATGTATTTCGTATTTCGAAGGATCATCATTGGAGAAATAAAATGAAACCTAGATAGATGCAAACCGATCATCAGAATCGTAAATTCAAGATTCAACCTTCGTTATCGAGCGCCGTGTTCCCAACCCTCCTGTCTTCACGGTTTGCGGTCGGCTAGTCTTCCCGCCGCAATAGAATGCATCTGCCATCAGGGCGTAGAGCGAACAAAATGGTGAGTATTTTGGTGCATCGCGGATGTGTTGATGAGTGTTGATGAGCGTTGATGAGCGTTGATGAATGTTGATGGTCGTTGATGGTCGTTGATGGTCGTTGATGGTCGTTGATGGTCGTTGATGGTCGTTGATGGTCGTTGATGGTCGGTTCGAAAATTGAGTGTTGACAACGTTGGGCCAAGCTTCAACGGGTTGACGGGTCGAGCACATCCTACTGTGACCTCGCGTTCCGCAGTCTAGTCGGACAGACCCACAGCTCAACACAACCAACAGCACACTAAAGCGAGGCTAGGGAGAAAAACCCATGACTTCTCGGGATGAAATTGTAGGCCTTTTTCAGTGATTCAACGTTGAATCGCTCACAGATGAGGTATCAGCACAAGAATCATGAGCCTCTGATTGCGGATGGAATATCTCCCACAAAATCTCAATTTAAGAGGGCCGTGAAGGATTCAGCAGTGAGCCAACGTTTCTTGGCCTACTCAGCATCCCTTTTTCTCAACAACACTCGTCTCTCTCACTGAGCTAAAGGCATAAAAACTGTCGCTGCATGTCGCTGCAAATATCTGCGGTAAAAGAAGAAATGGGTTTCAACAGGCCTCAATTAAGAGAGTTGTCCCTCAACGCGTTCTACCAAAAGAGCACTTGCGCAACAGAAGGAGCCGAGAAGCCTATAAATACGTCCTCTACCCCCGGCAATTTGCTCTACAATTTATTTACCTGACTGCAAAATCGAGCAGGCTTGTGTCTGAGCCACTTGATAAGTTCTTCCCCATTGATCCAGTACTGAAATTCCCACTGTACTGACATTTATAGAATACATCGTGGATTAACAAGCCAGACAGTGCCTGTGAGACATACAGGTATGATTCTTAGCAGGTTAACTGTGCCAACCAGCCAGCCGATCAAAGAGACGAGACTTAGGCTGACTGGTCAAAGTGTCTATGCGACAAGGTCTCCGCCATAGCAGCCGACTGAGCTGATTTACTGTACAGCCTCTGTGTGTATTCCCAAGAGAAAGTGCGAATATCCGCGTCGCAGGTATGTAAACTTAGCCTGACCTGTCTGGAAATTTACTGATCTTGAAGACAATGCGATTCCAATCGAACCGATATTCGACGTAATGCACGAGCGCAAGGACCGTAGCTCTTTACCGTCTCTTCGTCCCTAGTCTTGGCCACCAGAACATGTGAGTCATGAATTATGTCGCGAATGTACAAGCTAATGAATGACAGTGAACATTGACATCGAACCAGAGGGACCCGGGGATACAGCACCCCCGTTAGTGTTCTATATAAGCCATGGCCTACACACCACTCCTGGCCCCGTCGCTCCAAACTACGCAGCATACCGTAGGTGAGGTATATGAATCAAACGAGCGGCCAAATAAAGGTGCGAATATCCGATTGCGTGCTTCGCTGCATAGAAGCTTGAGAGGTCCATTCTTCCTGATAATGTGAGTAATTTATCGCCCCCGCTGCTGCCCTATATCAGTTATTCGTGCAGATTTTTGTGCTCTAAAACACGGACTCCATTACTGATTTCATGCCACTGTAGATAGGAGCAGCTCATCGCCACTGAAATATTCCTGTTGGGAATCCTATCGCCGGATCGGAGATAAGACCGAGGCGTCACTACGACGTGTGCTCTATCGCGTCTTCCGCCCTCGTCCTCACCACCTTCACACCATGAACGGCGAGGTGTATGAACCTCTCGCCGTCCCCATCGCGAGGTCTTATCCCATTACGACTGTACAGTACAGTGTCCTGTCACAGGTGGGTTCGTCACGCGGCTTTGGGGCTCAGAAGTTGCCCGGTGCACCCAACGCGGCTTCGAATCGACAGCCGGAGAGTGCGACGAACTGGATACAACATCATGCCAAATGTCATGATGGTGACTGCATTGATGAAGACAATTGTAAGTGATCTCGTCGGTAAGATAGGACCACGAAGCTAATTGATCGTCTCGCCTCAAGCGAACATTTTGCGAACTTTATGAACAGGTAAGTGATGACAACTCGTCCAAGTGGTAAGCCTTGCTGACTCGGATCATACAACAGGAGGTCCCTCATATTCCCGTCACTCGAGTAGAATGCGAGGCGAGCAAATGTCTTGTCTGCTCGAGCTCCCCTATACCGATGCGATCGCATGCTGTCTATCACTTCCACATGACTGCTGGTGGCATTGACGATGAGTCACCGAAAGGTTCATATCGTCTACCTTGGCCCTTCTCCCAATCGACTCTGTGCATCAGTCATGTGCTGATGTGTCTACCCGATACAAAGCCCAAGCCACTATGGCCTTATACCACCGTGTGTCTCGGCATTCGAAAGAATAGCTTCTTGTGGATTAAATCCTGGCGTCCATT